ATGTACCAAGTTTGAATAGAGAAATCTTCAGGCTGTGTTTTTCATGTATTGCCTTTTCTTTCAAGTTATTGAGAAATCTTCAGATAAACTTTTGTCTTTTCTAGTACTGTTCATTTTATGCTCTTGTCAGTTACTATTTTCGCACTAGATAAATATTGAAGTCCTTACCCAATATAAGGCATAGAAAAGAACCTGTATTGGGTTAGTTTTCCACATAATCCACAATCAATTGATTAAAGTCAACATCAATGCACATTTTACATTTTTATTATTCTCAGTTTGTTGGAGTTTTTCGTTACCAACAGTAGCACGCCTTCGCAATCACAAAAATAAACTCCACTGCCAATCCCACATGCATGGCCGGCAAGTCTTTTCGGGGTGAACAAAGGTCGAATGAAAATGTGTCAAAATCTCATGACGGGAATTTGTGCATATGTATTATTGTGTATATATATATATATATATTATAGATTTCTATCCATATGGATATTAGTTTCCCAAGTTCTCCAAAATTGATGTGTTAATAAATCTGTTGCATTGAGATCTCCTCAGCCACCTTTTTCTTTGCCTCTTCTACGATTAAATGTCAGATTGTGTTGCGAAAAGAAAAGAATTAAAAGAAGAAAAAAAACAAAAAAAGTTCAAAGAATTTGACAAATGTCCAAATCTCATTTATTTTGAAGATGAACTCCGCCACAATTTCAAGGAGCAAAACTTTTTATAAAAAAAAACTCATTTTCCCTTGGTTAAAACATTGATTCTTATCTTTTTTCGAATTATAGCGATTGGGGAGGGGGACACTTTTCCTAGTATTCGAACGCGTGACCGCAGGGGGGGGGTGGTGTGTGGTGTGTGTTGGCAAAGGGGGAAGGAGGGACCTCACCAAAGTGGTAAACCCCTTAGTTATCTTTTAACTTCCTAGTTATGCACACTGGCTTTTCTTTCAACTCTATCACATAGAATAAGCAATGTGTAGTTCAATAATTCTATGGGTACTGTATGATTCAATAATTTCATGGACCCCACATCATGTGAGATAGTGGCTTATCACATAGAATAATTTTATGGAAAGTAATGAAAAATATGAAAACATGTGAAAAAGTCTATGTATTTATTATCTCAAAAGGAAAAAAAAAAGCATGTTTTTAATATTTTCAAGGTAGGTTTTGTTTTTCCAAAGTAAAAATAAATATTTGAAGAGCCAAAGTTAACTTACCAGTCATAAAGAGAGAGAAAGAGGTTGCATCTGTGATGACTGAGTTTGACAAAGTTGTTGGAGAGATGTTTTCTAATGTGGCTTATCTATTTTAGCATCCCAAAGTGATTGAAGAGGCTATTGGAGATGCTCTAATATTTTACTTGTAAGAGCATCTTCAATGGTGAGGGTCATTTCAATTTGATTTCAATAAATTGAATTTTTAACTTGCAGTGGTAAAGTTCAGTTCATTCCAGAGATTAATATTTCATTTGAGGGTTCAATAGTTCATTTCAATAAGTTGGCCCACCGTAATAACTCTACAACCTCTCTCATATTGACACTTGGACAACATTACTTTTTACTTTTGCTTATTCATATTCAATTTTGTTATGCAATAACCTGAAAAACAGGTGCTTTGATATGTTCTCATTTAATCTCAACTTCCAATTCTTTTTAAAAAAATTGTTAATATAATATTGTCACCAACTAAAGAAAAACTTATTATTAATATATATTCAAAATTTGTCACTTTTTAAAGATCTCTTTGAAACCATTTTAATTATATAATTCTTATCGTAATTAACTTTATTTTATTCAATCATTTAAAAAGATATTTAAAATATATATAATTTTTAATTTATAAACTATTGAATTGCACCAATGCAAGTGAAATAAAAACATAAATCTTTTGCTGGTGTTGTTGTTTAATTATTTAATCCTTATTACTTAAATCACAAGAAAATCAATACCGTATGTAGTCGCTCTATTATTTTATACTCGATCTTTGACTTTCCGTACACACTATTTGTATTTGTCACAAAACTTTCATCCTTGGTAACAACCAATCGTCCAACCAGGCGTTGGAGCATTTGGGTGTTACTATTGAAACAAACCTGTCTCTGCAGCAGCAGCAGCAGCAGCTCTCTCGATCATCACAGACAGTGACACCATCAAAATATTACCTCTCATTCCTCCATTTCAAACCTTCTCCCACTCAATTCCTCATTTCATACATGAAATGCAATCTTTCTTTTGAGCTATTGGGGCGGCCGTCACTTCATCTCTTTGGTTTAGCTGCCTTGGACTGTTTCAAGTGCTGGGTTTTCTTTGTAAGCTTGATATAATCCCTGTTTCCAGGTTATTGGCAGGTTATTGGGCTACTGACGTCCTGGATCTGTGAGCTTTAATTTAGTGTTTCTTTGTTGGGGATTTTTCCCTGGGTTGTTTTCTGCTCTTTCCTTTTTGATTTGTTTGGTTTTTCTGTGTTGGTTTTATTCTATTGAATTCTGATTCTAGTAACTCCCTTTCATTTTCATCTTCATCTTCATCTTCATGCATGCTTATTTTGTCTATCTAGAGCTGGGTTGTGATTCTCTTAAAGTCTACCTCACTACCTCTGTGTGCTTCTGTTTTATACAAAAGGACCATAATATTTTTTTTTTGATGAAAAAGGACCATAATATTAAATCCTATATCAAGTGAGCTTTAGAGCCTTACAAGACCGACACCACCATTTACCAACACCACTTGAGTAAACTAATATTATCCTCTTTTTTTTTTGGGTCAATGAGTAAACTAATATTATCCAAAACACCATTATACTGACACCATTATATTATATTAATCTGTGCACCCATACCTACACCACTAGTTAATTCCTTGTTTATCAATTTGCCTTGTGATCTAATCAGATCAGATGCAATGAGCAATTCAAACATCATAGATTTATGCAGTGATGATGAAATGGGTGAGTCAAATATGAAAAAATGTACAAGGGAGATTGAGCCTGGCTTTGATTCTGCATCTGCACCCTCAGTATGCCCAACACCAATTTCTCGGCAATTTTGGAAAGCTGGACACTACGAAGAAAAGCAGGGACAGAGGTGCAAAGCCGCAAACCCATGTAAATGTTTTCTCTGCTCACGCTATTTGTTTCGATTGCGACCCTTGCTTAAATGGCATTCCGCATGGGCATGCCTAATTGCTTAACAAGTTCAAATTCCTTTAGGCGTTTGTATCATTTAACCACAATTGGGTTTTTAAAGCTGCTTTAATGGACTATGAAGATATGAAAAGTGGTAAATTCACTGGTGTATCAAATTTCAGTATGCCGCCGTGCGTGAAATGGGCTATAACCCGATTACAATAGAAAACGTGCAGAACCCGTGTCTGAAAGATAGAGTTGTTTGCATGTCTACATGAAAGTTCCTGTCATGAGTTCCTAATTTTCTGATTTTCATTGGACCATTCTATGTCATCTTTTGGTTTACAGGTGGAAAAAACCATATGCGCATACACCCTATGTTCCTTCACTCAAATGCCACTTCACATAAGTGGGCTTTTGGAGGTATGCTCAGGTTTTGTCCCATTGGTTTCCCTTCTCTTATTTCTGCATGTATTCCCTTTGCTCTCTTTCTGATCGCTTGTTTGCAGCCATGGCAGAATTGCTTGACAATGCAGTCGACGAGGTAAGTTCCAAAACCCCCTTACCTTTATCATTCTGATTCTTCTGGTTTTGTATTTAAAATGTTCATTTCCGAAACCCCCTTGAGTAGAATAACATCATTGAGATAGAAATGGCCCATTACTAGAAAGAAACCCAATAACATTATGCTGAAGTTCATTTTTGCCTTTGAATTTGTTTCCTGGTGGACAAAATGCATTTTCTGTCTGTGGTGTTAACTCTAGCTATTGAATTACTGTTATAAATCTGAGAAAAAGGAAAAGCTTGGAATGATGGATAGTAAGGTTTTAGATTTGTTTGGTTTTAAGTCTATATACGATGTTAGAAATGGTGTTGTTCTTAAGACTCAAGTGATATTTAGTAGAAAGAATTCCATCAGCTCCAGGGCCTGTGAAAGGGGAGGAAAATTTTAGATGTCTTGTATTGCATTTGAGGTGGTGTGGAGTTTAGGACGAACAAAATCAGTGATTGTTTTTTAAGATTAATAATGATTGTCTGCACTAGTGATGGATTTTTATTTTGTATATAAATAGCAACTGTATCTCGTAAGTATAGATCAGTGAATACAATCAGTTTCTTCAGTTTTGTATTTATACCTCTGCTGCGCTCTGATGAAATAATGAAAAAATCTATAACAGAAGATTCTTGGTGTCCTTTCCCTCTCTGAGCATGCTTATTTATGGTACCTTTCAGTTCTGTTTAACTGGGGCACTTAGTTATTTATTAACAACCTTTGTTTGTGGGGACTAGATACAAAATGGAGCTACTTTTGTTAGCATAGACAAGATGTCTACCCCACGGTATGGGACTCCAGCTTTGCTAATTCGAGGTTGGCCTACCAATCCTTCTACCTTTGTTTTTTCTATTAATATCTGGACCAGGATAACATCTCATATGAACTTTTGGCTTCTGAAACATGATATTTGACAACAAAAAGATGATGGTGGTGGAATGGACCCCGACGCTATAAGGCGCTGTATGAGCTTTGGGTTTTCAGATAAGAAATCAAAGTTAACCATTGGACAATGTATAGATTGTACTTGGGAGCATTGAATCTTGTGCTTGATGTATTGTATTTTTTGTTGATTGGGATCCATTTAGCCTTTCAGATGGAAATGGTTTCAAGACAAGCTCTATGAGACTTGGAGAAGATGTTATTGTATTCAGTCGCCACTTGAAATCAAGGTCTGGCCCAAGAACATATTATTTCACTTTTACTTACTCTGCTTGTAGTATGTTTTCCTTGTTATTAAATAACTATTGTTGGTATTTCTCTCTGTGAGATATATATATATATATATATATATGAAGTTCTAGTTAAATCCCCTAAAGACCATAAAAAAGGGCAGTTGACAGCTAATTTTATTTTTTTTGGGATAAGAAATGAATTGGCAGCATGATTTACTAATGTACATTATTATGTCTCACTTTTGTCTTTATATTTTTGTTTCTAGCGCAATATTAGGAAGTGGAGATAACCATGAAGTTGGGATCCAACCTTTTTATAAAATAGAGATAGTACTTATTTTGTATTTACACTGTTGGTATATAATGTTGACTGCATAAGGTTCTGTTTGCATTGGTGTATAACCTTCTCAGGTCACTGACTCAAAGTGTTGGACTCCTTTCTTATACATTTTTGAGGCAGGTGGGCTACGACAAGATAGTTGTACCAATGGTGAGTTTGATTTCATAGCACCCTTTTATATGTGATAATATCTTTTGCAAGTTCACCCAAACTAAAATTGGTATAATAATCCATGCCAAATTGTGGAGTCTACAATAGGTGAACATGCTGTGTAAGCAGTGTTAGTGTCCTGTCTGAAAGTTAATAAATGGCCTACTTGAACATGGCCAGAATTACTATCAGGGACTTCCTCCTTGAAGACTAAAAATCCTCCTTGAAGACTAAAAATTTAGCAGAGTGGATGTGATGCAGAATCAATAGTAGAAAAGAGATCAATTCAATTCCCTAGTTGACCACATATTCCTAAAATTATGGTTCTCATCATTTGCCGTCAAGATGATCACAACTTAGTGAGAGTATTTGGTTTTGTATTGTCTTTGATTTATGAACAGATAAATTTCATAAGGCTTCAACATAGGCTATCACTTTATTAGGGCAGGGACCTTGTAATGCCATTTTGGTGTTACCATAAACAAGGCCACTGAAAGTGATCTTTCTGCATATTATTTGATTTCGGTCAGTGGCAGAACCCCATTCATGGTTCATTTATTAGTGTGAAATGCTGTGAGTTGATTTCTAATTTTTTTTTTTGTTAACCCAAATGGAATTCATTAATGTACGATTGATACTATTTTCAGTTTCTTTATTATAGGAATCTAATAACTATTTAACTCAGAACTCAGTATGGGTATTCCTGTTACTACAGGTGGATTATGAGTTTAACTCATCAGCCAGAACATTCAACCCCATAATTCCACATAATGAAGACAAGTTTTCTTCTAACCTCACCATGCTGTTACACTGGTCTCCTTATTCAACGGAAGAGGAGTTGCTGAAGCAAGTAAGCCTGCAATAATTTGGCATTAATCTTAGCATAAAACTTACTGCTGCATTCCTATGAGTTGCTGAAGCAAGTAAGCCTGCAAACATACAGTTCTTTATTAATGAGGTGATTTGGATTGGACCCTAAATGAAGTGTTAAAAATAAGAGAGAGGCTTATTTATTATAGCAAGCAATTGTTATTGTGCAATTGGCCCTTTATCATGTGTGTGCACATATCCTTACATGCGTACACACATCCTTACATGTGTACATATACACATACATGCATTCATGCTGACATGGTATGCATGTAAGTATATTACCTATTTGATTTATTAACCCAATTGTCAGTTTGATGATTTAGGGGATCATGGAACAAAACTTGTCATTTACAATCTTTGGTTAAATGATGATGGGGACATGGAACTAGATTTTGATTCTGATCCCGAGGTTCTGATCATCCCTTTGCTTCATTCGTTGTACGATTGATACTATTTTCAGTTTCTTTATTATAGGAATCTAATAACTATTTAACTCAGAACTCAGTATGGGTATTCCTGTTACTACAGGTGGATTATGAGTTTAACTCATCAGCCAGAACATTCAACCCCATAATTCCACATAATGAAGACAAGTTTTCTTCTAACCTCACCATGCTGTTACACTGGTCTCCTTATTCAACGGAAGAGGAGTTGCTGAAGCAAGTAAGCCTGCAATAATTTGGCATTAATCTTAGCATAAAACTTACTGCTGCATTCCTATGAGTTGCTGAAGCAAGTAAGCCTGCAAACATACAGTTCTTTATTAATGAGGTGATTTGGATTGGACCCTAAATGAAGTGTTAAAAATAAGAGAGAGGCTTATTTATTATAGCAAGCAATTGTTATTGTGCAATTGGCCCTTTATCATGTGTGTGCACATATCCTTACATGCGTACACACATCCTTACATGTGTACATATACACATACATGCATTCATGCTGACATGGTATGCATGTAAGTATATTACCTATTTGATTTATTAACCCAATTGTCAGTTTGATGATTTAGGGGATCATGGAACAAAACTTGTCATTTACAATCTTTGGTTAAATGATGATGGGGACATGGAACTAGATTTTGATTCTGATCCCGAGGTTCTGATCATCCCTTTGCTTCATTCGTTCTCTTTTGGATCATATTGGATACGGTGTTACCGTAAATCTTATTCTTGCAGGATATTTGTATTAATGGTGACAAAGCACTTAGCAGAAAGAAACGAAATCAGCATGTTGCTAACCTATATCAGCACTCTCTCCGTGTAAGTATAGATTTCAAATTTCAAATTTGACTATTACAATAAGTTTCTCGTCCTTAAATCCTGGCCTGGTTTCATGTTCCACAGGCATATGCATCAATCCTGTATAGGCAGCTACCACAGTACTTCAGAATAATTTTGTGTGGACGAGATGTTGAGCACCATAATATTGCCAGTGATCTCAAATATCTTCAGTTTATCAAGTATATGCCGCAAATTCATGGAAATAAGGAGGTTTGTGCTGTCTACAATGCCACCGTTCCTACTACCATGCTGATTTTTAGTTGCTACTAATTGCACCCTGTAATTTATCAGACGCATCTGACTTAATTGCATCACATCAGTTTCCTCTTTGCTTTTCTCTCCAAGTTAATGTATGGTTGACTGATATCCTCAAGTTCAAGTCGTTAATCGTTATGAATTCTCTCTATAGTCTGTTTTCGGAGGGCTTAAGATGGAGCAAATTAAACAGATTGCATTTTTTCTTCTAGCTAAAAGAGACAACATGACCATGAATAATAGAGTATTATGATGATGAAGTTGGCTGAGTTTTACTTTCAGTAAAACCATGTCTTAAGAACAGAGCAGTCATGTCTTGAAATGATAGTTATAGCCCAAAAAGTGTGTCACGTCTCTTTTTGAGAAAAAGCTTGTGTGATTAAAAGCCCCATCTGATCCTAATCACCCACCCCACAAGTGTTTGTCCAAGTGCATGTTGTCTTTAGCTTTAGGTGGTGTGCGGTGCGCATGTGTTTTGTTAGTATCTAAATCCAATGGTTCTACCGTAGTTGATTGCTAGCTTCTTTGTTCAGGTTGAAATTATTACCGCAATAGGGTTTCTGAAGGAAGCTCATACTCATGGTTTCAATATCTACCATCGGAATCGTCTGATACTGGTAATTTTCTTCTCTTTTATTGTTAAACAGGTTATCTGATACAAATTCACTATCCTTTTCTCTGACTTGTTTACTTGTCGAGTGCCACGCCAGGATTTTTGTTTGCAAATTTGCCGAGAGTGAATGAAACTATATGCCATTTGCATAACTTTTATTAGTCGGTGTATGTTATCTTGTTCCATACTCCTGGAAAAGAAAGTCAACTTGTTGTTTACCACTTATGCTTTTCTTATTTATTAATTTTTGGCAGCCATTTTGGCGTGTACTTAGAATTGGGACAAACAGTACTGGAAGAGGAGTTGTCGGTGAGAACTGCACTTATCTAGACTAGTTCATCAAACAGTTGTATACGTACAGTTGATGATGATTTATGTGAAAGTATCATGATTGTAGGTGTCCTGGAACCAGATTATATTCAGCCTACTCACAATAAGCAAGATTTTGAGAAAACTTCCCTCTTCCAAAAGCTTGAAGATCGTTTAAAGCAAATGACAGTAGAGTACTGGTGAGCCACCTTTTACATTGTTGGGTGTATTTTTTTATTTTATTTTATTTTTTAAATTTTGCCACAGCTAGGAATGGGAGGGGCGCAAACTCACATACACGGGTAGCATGGGGATTGGACCACTTGGGAGCACACAAAAGACCTAACATCCCATTGGTTATTGTTTAAAAATAAATAAATAAATAAATATGTTGAATTGCACACGAAATAGTAAGTATACTGATAGCATTGTTTTTTTACCAAGGAAAAAAAATTACTAATAGCATTGTTGGGCTTTTTTTTTCTAGTTCTTTATTTCTCTATTCCCTGTTTAGCTTGTTTCAGTTCTTGTGCTTAGGCCTCAGATACAATGCTTTTAAAAGAAAAACCCCATTTTGCCCAAATATATCATTTACGCAAATCACATTTTGCCTAAGACGCAAACCCATAACCCTGAGCCCAAAAACAGTTCATTGTCCAAGAACATAAATGAAACTGGGCATCTCGTCTCAGTAGTAGCAGTATACTGAAGAAGAAACAACGACTTCGAAGATGAACTTCTTCTTCCTCGCGCGAGAAGCAGGCCGGCCTGTGGAAGTATTTTAAGTATTAACTCTTGGTTTTGAATTTTTGGCTGTTGCATATATAGGGTTGTTCTCATTTCTGTAAAAATTCACTGGTACAATGACTTGTAATAATTTCCGGGTTGACGCATATTTCTGTTGTACTACCTTTCACCTTGGCAGGAACAAGCATTGCACACTGATTGGTTATCAGCAAGTTAAAAGAGGTCCATCTGCAACATCGCGTCAGCAGGAGCCACCTTATTCCACAACTCAGAATTGTGAGGACCAACCTTCGGTACTGAATAGTGGTTCTGAATATGAAAGTTCAAGAGCAGGTTTGATAAAAAAGAGGAAGGATCTTCTTGATCCTCCAGTGAAACTACAACACGCCAAAAGGCACATGGGATTTTGTGGAACTGATGATGTCCAGGACATTAGTGAACAGGTTTACTTCTACATTCTCATATTTGGGTCTCAAAACATATCTCTGTTTCCTTTCACTAGGTTAATGTTGGATGTTTATTACCATTCCTTGGTGTATTTTTTTGGTAGCCTGAAAATAGCGTTGAGGACATGATGCAAGGTTCACAGAAGATACTTCTGATGCAGGAAAACAAAAAACTTCGGTTACGGTAAGTACAAAGCAATATGGTTGCTCATCATTTGTGTAATTATCCACACATTTTAATTGTTTTGGAATTTCTCATGTGTCCTGTCGCTTCCAGGCTGCTTTCATTGGATCAAACGGTGCAAGAACTTAATTTGAAGGTCTCTCTATCTCTCCCCCTCTGTGTGCGAAAAAGATAAACATCAGGTTTTGACCTGATTTAGTAGTTAATATAGTTAAGTCTTTTAATGAACATGATATTACAATTGGTGCAGGTGCAACAACTTAAGGATGAACTAGAGAATGTACTGCTCGCTCTCTCTCTCTCTTTCCTAAAAAAAAAACTGATATCAGATTTTTACCTGATCTGGTAGTTGACATAGTTAGTCTTTAATCAAGATGAAGTTATAATTGGTGCAGGTGCAACAACAGAATGAACTGAGGCAGACGCTGCTTGAATCATACCCATTGAATAAATACGAGCAGCACGTTTGCTAACTAGCTCTCTCTCTCTGTTGGGTCCCACTTCTACTGCTTGAATCTTTGTGACGGGAAGCGAGGATGATGGAGGATCATTCCTCCCTCGTTCTTGGCTTTCAATCTTCAGGAAAACAAGACAATATTGGAGTGACTAACTAGCTAAGCTAGACAGATCTCAACTGTAACCCCTCAGGTGTCCACGAGTTCACTCACATAAACGGGTGGGTGACTGTGAGACGTTGACTGAACAAAAGACGATCGTTCGTCAAAGGCCAGTCGCCCATGTGCGCGTGACATGCTAACACTGCTCATTTGTTTAATTACTGCAAAAGGACTTTGCACTAATCATTTACATTTCAAGTCTTGATTGAAAACCCATTAATGCAGGTCACTAGGCGTGGAGGGACTGTAGGGGCGGTGATAACCCAGCTGTTACTGTTCTCAGGCCCTAAATTCTCCAAGCAGAGAGCATTTCTCTGATGGGTATTATGATGATTGTGTGCACTCTCCCAGTTTCCCTCATCTACTCTCCTCAGTGGGGTGGAATGTTCTGTGGCCCTTGCTATGGCAATGAGGATCATCTCAATGGGCCAGAAACTGATGAAACAAACCATTATGGCTTCGCTCCAACAAACAATTTATCTACCACGGCCTTCTTTTGATTAGCCTCAAGTTTCATATGGAGCAAGTACAAATTGATCCAATTATGTAAAGCGGTCACGTACGGTTAGTTTAAAGAACAAGCTTGGGAACGTTCAAAGAGGGTCTCAAGACTCAAAGCTACACAGGAATTAGCTTTTCTGAAGAAAATGATTGGCCTTCATTTGTAGTTAGGTTGGTTTTTAAAAATCCGGACGGCATGTTGATCATCCTCCGCATCTGAAGCACCAGACACTTCCAGATTACGATCATTCACCAAAATATCGTGGCCTACATTATTAAAATTCAAATCAAAGGGAGTTAGTAAGAGGTACGCGTCTACAGAATATAAGAATTCAAAATGGGCACGAGAGTTTAGAACGTATAATAAATCGGGTGCTCGCTCAACATCCATGGCAAATGCAGCATTTGGCAAGAAGCTGATTGACCCAAGTAAAACTGACACACCAAGAATTCTTCCAAATCTTAATATAATTCCTCATGAAAGGAATATGTCAAAATTATGGGTACCCATTAAACATTATGCTAGCTGCAGAGAAAACCCAATTTTTGTTTAGGGTTCATTAGTGAATGGCATCAACATGTTCAAGTTTTAACAACCAAAACCACCAGAGATTGACAGCATAAACTCTAATTGAAGATTAGCGCCGCAACGACACAAATCATACAGTTTCCAAATCCAATTTACAGTATAAAATTTACTTTAACATTTTCAGGCGGTAGAAGCAAAATCGAATAGGAGACTTGCCTGAAAACCAGAATTTCTGAAGAGAATTTATTTGTATATTCAATGAACAATAATGACATTGAAGTATAAGCTAGTTTGTGTTTGAGCAAAAATGAAATCTGAAAAGTCAATAATACCTTTCTGTCTTAAAAGGGCAGGTGAAGGATATGCTAGTTTATAGCTTTCCCCAATTCTTGATTAGATTTAGGTTTCCGAAGGTTGAAATATAAGTTTGTAACTTAAGTTACTCTAATTTTAGTGAAAAAGGGCCTTTCACTTGTAGGCAAGAGGCATCATAGTTTTGTGTGTGTGTGAGAAATTCACTTTCTCTCTAATTTAGATTATAATTTGTACTAAAAAAAGGTTATTCTAAATTAAACTATTTTACAGGAAAATACATTCAAATTTGAATGCAAAGGAACGGCCTCACTGTGTTGACTGACTAACTAACCTATCACACATGAGCTAAAATATACGTATTTGGCGGCTAAAAGCAAAGAGTGAGGCCAAGCACAAACCCGATCCTTTTAAATGCTGCATCGATGGTTGCCACTTGGGATGGGTTATTTGGAAAGAAAGAAAGAAAGAAAAACCAAAATACGTAGAAAAGTGGGGAAAATATCTGACAGAAATATCTGCCAGGGTTTTCCTCAAGTCAAGAGTGATATCAGAAGATTCATAGAATCATAAAAGGGTTACATTCGGCAACTGTGAGAGAGCATATCCAGTATGTCTGTCTCTGCAGTCTCAATTTCCCAGTTTTCACTACCAAAAGCTTTCCAAGTTGAGGACCATTTCACCACAATAAGCAAGCCCATCTGGAGGTAATCTAATGCAGATTAAGCTTTCGAGTTTGTTAAAATAAAAGGGTTTTAATTTTTTAAACAAGTTGTAGAATTTCAGATATTTTTTGAGTTTGAATTTGGCTATGGTGCGGCTGATATTGAAATTGTTGTGCTCAAGATGGAGGAGGCAGGGAAGCCCTGCAAGCAGAATCAGATGTGGTAAGAGAGAGGCAGGGGAAATGCTAGCAACAAGCATGGGAAAAAATTACTATGAATTGCTTGGTGTTTCTGTTGATTCGAATGCGCAGAAAATTAAACGAGCTTATAGGAATTTGCAGAAGAAGTACCACCCAGATGTTGCAGGACAAGAGGTAAGTAATCAAACTAATCTAAATCTACATATTTGATGATTAATTGTTGCCTAATTAAGGGGCAGCAGGGTCACGAGTATACCCTCAAGCTGAATGAAGCTTATAAGGTTCTGATGAGAGAGAATCTGAGGAAAGAATACGATGCTTCCATTGGTGAAATGAGAGGAAATTACAGCTCATCAAGCTTGGGTCGCACTTCTTCATGGAATGGACCTTTGAGACCCCAAGGTCTATTTGTTGATGAAAATGCATGCATAGGTAGGTCATCAATTTCTCTAACGAAACTCATATATTAATTTCACATTAATTCCTTGATACAAGCCAAGTGATATTGGTTTGATAGAGGGGGAAATCAAACCTAGAATCTCAGGAATCAATTGAACTACAAGCTTCTTCTTAATTTCGCATTAATTAAATCGCAATAGAATTATATTTGTGCAGGTTGCAGAGAATGCGTGCACCATGCAAGTAGCACCTTCATATTTGATGAGGCTCTCGGATGTGCTAGGGTTAAACTTCAATATGGTGACGATGAACAAAAGATTGAGGTAAATAATGTACGCAAGGAGGTTGTAGCTCAAGTAGTTAAGAGGAATTATATTTTGTGTTTGAATCCCCTCACCCGACATCGCTTGTATAAAGAAAAACATATATAATTTATTAATTAGTTCATGAATTAGAATGTGGTGTTAAATTGGCGTGGGTATTACAGGTATCAGTTGATTCATGCCCTGTGAACTGCATTCATTGGGTGGAGAAAGAAGAACTGCCAGTGCTTGAATTCCTGATTCAGCCTCAGCCAAAGGAAGGGTTTGGGATATTCGGAGGAGGCTGGGAAAAATCTGCAAATGTTTTCATGGCTGCTAAATCATTCAATAAACAAACTCACAATGAAAACCATGGAAGAAATTGTAAGAAGTTTAACTACTTATGAATTACTTCATCAATATTGTTTGTTGCCATATGTATCATATCAATATTGCATTGCAGCACGTGCGTCGACTGTTGAAGAAGAAGAAACCCCTGCTCAAGCCAAGGCTCGAGCTGACGCAAGTAGGAAAATAAACATGGAAGCTGCATCAGGATTATTCTCAAGATTCTGGCAATGGCAAAATAAGCCTTTTTGGGGCGAAAAGGTGGAATAAAAAGTAGAGAAATTATAACTGCACATATGCATATATAGATTATTACTACCAATCTGTATAAATTAGTTTATATGGTAGAAACGAACCGAACATGTATGTATCAAATTCTCAAGAGGGGAATTTGTATGTAAATCATAGATTTCTATCCACACCCATATTAATTTTCCAATTTCTCCAACTCCAATAACCATTGAATTGATCTCGTAATAAATCTTTTTCATTGAGATCTCCTCGGCCACTTTTTTCTTTGCCTACTCTACTATAATGTCGGATTGTGTTGTGACCTCGTCCATCGATCCAGCAAAAATACCCAATGCATGTTCATTCATTGAAAGTTCAGAGATACAATGAGAATTTCGATCACCAACACAAGACGAGCATCAAGAAAAGAAATGTATTGTGTACGTACAATGTTCACCTGACAATTAAATATAAATATATATACATTCGCTTTCATTTTTATTTTTTAGCAAATAACAGAAGATGTTCTTCTCTCAATCAACTAAACTTACCATCCCTTGATCAATATGAGGTTACATGGCCCATGGATAAAGTAGAGGAGAAATGCCTTGACGTACAGGTAGAAAGCCTCGTCCCAACTGTTTCAGGTTGGTTACACAAATGAACCCTCGTCCTCCAAAGCAAATACCATGCCCTCAAAATTTCAACCACAACAATTGCTTGCTTCGAAGCTTTATATGGTTTAACCAAGTTACAGAATCTCCTGATTTTCAAGCTGACATGCACCCTTAATTCCGCCGTACTGTTTGCTGTGCACTTGCATGAATCAATGGAGCTGGCATTTGTTTGTTCCAACACAAACAGAGCACTCCTCTGCATCTCCAGCAATATGGCTTAAGCAGTGATTGATCCTATCATTCAAAACATCCTGCAACCAGAGCCCTTATATCAGAACAAAAGCACAGTGGAATATGGTTGAAATGCATATCGCATATAGAGCAAACAAAGTTGAGCAAGCAAAGAGAAATATAACAAGCACAATCTCCCTTAATTTAGTGGACATGTTTCTAAAACCAGGGTAAACACATTCAACCATCAATTTAAGCATAAACATAACTTTAGCCAAAGCTTCTGGAAATTTTGTGACGACACTGTTTGATGCATAGGCAAAGAATCAAATTAAGGAAATTCCATCGTCATACCACGAGTAGCGGATGGAGGCCAAGAGGTGCCGTTACTATATATGAGACACCAGGATGCTCCTTTGCAGCTTCAGCTGTCAGGGATGGAATATCCTGTAAAATAACACACAGCCTAATCCATTTTACCATGTTTGTCTTGATCATCCATACAGAGTTATCAAAAATCGAAATTCAACTGCGCCCACTATATTCATATAGTTAATGGTATATTATGTTGAGCTACCTGGTTCCAATGTCTTCCAGGTAAGAGGAAAAATGGGCTCACAATTACCCGATTGGCCCCTTGTAGAACACAGGAATTGAATGCAACATGAATTGATGGTTCCACCAACTCCTAATCATAAAAAAAAATTCATAGATATATGTACAATGAGAATTTCACCAAAATAATAGCATAAAGAAATGAACAAACAATGTTCACCTGAAAATGTAGTCAATGGAAAAAACCCAAAAAGGGTGAGAAGTGTGTGCTTTTTATTTACTGTACCATATGAGCAGGCTCCACTATAAGGTACCCAGTTCTCTCTTTAAACATGGACACGAACGCATCTGAAATTCATATTAATTGTTCAAACTTCAAATTAACAAGCTTAAAAAGCCAAACTTTTTACACAACTATAAGCACTTTTGCAACGTTAAGAGAAAAAAAAACCCAAAATCTCAATCTTTGATTAGCTTACTTAGCATGAGATTTGATTCCTTGCGGCGCGAACCATGGTCGACGATGATGACGCCGTCTCTGTCACCAACCCCATTTGGATTTTGTCCGAATCCTCCATTGCCGCTACCCATACACAACCTTATGCTTGAATTTCTACTTCTGGAGAAGTTGAGGACTGCGCAGCTAGAGCTTGTTCCGATTTCGCTTGCCGACGAGCTTTGATTGCGCAATAAAACTGAGTAAACAACAGTTCTCGAATACCCCAAACAACGAAAAACAAAATGTATAAACACAGAAGATGATGCAGATTTGGAAGAAAAATGGAGGGCAGATGGGTAGCGACCTAATCGACATGTTTGGGGCTCTGAGCTTCAACGGTCCAGTCGGAGGCGATCATTGGTATATACTTGTTTGTAGTTAGGCATAAAACCAAGGCTTCCTTTAACGTCAGGCCAAAAAAAAAAATTTAAGAGGACCGCGCGGCTATACTATTCTGTGTTTTTCCAATGGTAGCTACGCCGTCGTTTCACCCCAAAATTGAGAGCGAATTTCATGGACCGGGAAATCCGCTTAGCCCATAGAGCCCAGCTCGATTATTACTGGGCTCGTAGACATAATAGGTACACAAAAAAAACCACCTCTTTTTAGTATAGCCGGGCGGCTGTACTATTTGTTTTTTTAAAGAACATATAGCCGGTCGGCTGTATTTTACAAAAAAACAATATAGCCGCACGGCTGTACGATTTGTTTTTTAAAAACGTATAAAACAGAGTAAACAACAGTCCCCCAATACCCCAAACAACGAAAAACAAAATGTATAAACACA